TTGCTGGTAATAATTTTTTTTTAATATATTGCTGGTAATAACTTTTTTTTCAATATATTGCTGGTAATAATTTTTTTAAAAAATATATTGCTGGTAAATTTTTTTTTATTATATTGCTGGTAATAATTTTTTTAAAAAATATATTGCTGGTAAATTTTTTTTTAATATATTGCTGGTAATGATTTTTTTTTTAATATATTGCTGGTAATAATTTTTTTTTTCAAATATATTGTTGGTAATAATTTTTTTTAATATATTGCTGGTAATAACTTTTTTTTTCTTTTAAGTATATTGCTGGTAATAATTTTTTTAAAAATATATTGCCGGTAATAAGTTTTTACAAAGTATTTCTGGCATTAAACACTTTCATAATGCTTTTTACCTCATTTTCGGCGTAAACTATTTGCCCATAGCTTGGACCCTAACAGGTGCTATCACCCCGGGTCAGGGTGGACCTAGGAACACCAGCAATTAAAAGATGTTTCCACGTTCCTCAAAACCTCCTGATCAGAGGCCTTGCTGCTGGACGTAGTTTATCGTCTTACCCAGGACGGACCAGGGCTAGAGAAAAATGACTTAATTCCCAGCTACCGGTTCAACGGTGGGTAAACACTTGTAACTATTTTTTTATTTCTACTGTGAAATATTACGGACCAATTATTTGCGAATTTTGACTCAGGAGCTCAGACAAAAGGGTTAAAATTGTTCAGTAACTCAGGCTTCAAAGGGTTAATGTTGAAATTTAATTTTCTTGAGAGTTTTGAAGTAAGAAAAATATGATATTCTGCGTTTGTATCTCATAAAAATGTATTGATAGTATTTTTACTAGAAAACTGTCATTTTGTTATAAAAATTATCGGCCATTTTATTATAAAAATGTTCTGTTGATTTTTATTTTGGGGTTCACTATTTGTCTATAGCTGAGACCCTAACAGATGCTACCCACGGGTCAGGGTGGACTTGGGAAGAAAATCAATTAAGAGATGGTTCCACGATCCTCAAAATCTCTTCGATCAGAGGCCTTGTTGTCGGATGTAGTTTACCGTCATACCCAGAACGAATGTGTAGATCAAGGACAGTATTTGTTGAAATGTTCCTTGGTACACCAAAAGTCAGGAAATTGTGGAGAACCATGATCGCCCACGTCCTGAAAAGATATGATACGTAAAAGAAATCTTGTCTCGCGACGATTGAGTGGTTTGTTTTTGGTATGACGATAAGCTACAACAGGCAGTAAGGACTGTGATCGAAAGGTTTTTTCCGGGCTGTGGAACCACCTCCTAATTGCTTTTATTCTCAGGTCCACCCTGACCTGGGATGTTAGTACCTGCTAGGGTCCCAACTTTGGGCACATAGTGAACATACTAAATTGGGATCAAAACACTATGCAAGCATAAAAAATACATTTTTATAGTAAAAAATACTTTTAATTACAGTATAATCCCTAATATCCAGAATTTCTCATGTCCGGAATCTCTCATATCCGGAGTGCTTCATATCCGGAATCCCACATATCCGGTCATAATTTTGATGTGTATATTTGAACTATTTGGGTGATATGTAACTGATTTAAAATTTCTGTTTTTTAGGAAATTTACTTTGCATAATTGCTTATGCTTATTTCACCCTAATGGCTTGTATTGGTGCAAAAGATGATGGCAATAAGAGGAAAGCATGACAACGAGACACATCTGCAACAAGATAGCGACGAGATGCATGATTGTGATGAAACCTGGACTGAAATTGAAAAAGCTATTGAAAAGGTTGTCAGTTTTATGGAAAGAAAGCCAACATTCAGCTATGGCGATTGCAAAAATGCACGCAGAGTTAAAAACGTGTCTTTTGTTTTAAAAAATTTCAAGAACAAAAGCAAAACGATATGCGGAAAAAGTTGAGAATTACATTAGAAGAGAAAGAATCGTCATGCAACAGCGATTAAAATATCCTCGTTAAATTATTTGTTTTACATACGTGGCAGAATTAATTTAATGAATTTTCATTAACATTACATAATTTATTTCTTTTTCCTTAAAATCAATTCCGTTATATTTCACTCACCATTAGCTTATTTTGTTTACTATAAAACATTGAAGATAAATGTTAAACCTGATTTCAGTTCTTTTATTTTAATCTAAATATAACCCCTCATATCCGGACTTTGTAAACAATTCCTCATATCCGGAAGGCCTTCTTAGTTCGGTTGTCAGGGATTCTACTGTATAAAGAAACATCAGCGATCATATCCGGAATGCCTCATATCCGGAATCCCTCATATCCGGAAGAAGCCAATTCCTCATATCCGGAAGACATTCTTAGTCCGGTTGTCAGGGATTCAGCTGTAGTAAAAAGAATAAAAATAAAAATTACCAAAGCTCCCAAGAAAATTAAATTTCGGCATTAAATGACCCATAAGGTGTTGATATGCCGTTAACCAAATAAACCGACGACTGTGTAGTGAGTTCGATCCTCACTAAGTTCTCCATGGGTTTCGGCCTTGAACAAACATTTAAGCTAGGCATAGTTAATCGTCATAAAAGAAATACTGTGAATTTTTTAGTTAAATGTCTGTGTGTGTGTTCTTTTTTTTTGAGTGTGTGTATGTTGTGTTTAGTTATTTGTGTGTATCTGTTCGTGTTTACTTGTATGTATTCGTGTGAGTGCATCGAAATATTACTTCTAAAATCTTAAGAGCCAATACATACTAATGTCTAATAATACGAAATACTTTCTATTTCTCCAACTTCAACATAAAATATTTCAACCAACATACCTGTACTATGGTGATATTTGTCAGTTCATGAAACGATCGAGAACATTCGACCTCTTTCGTCCTTTTAAGTCAGTTGCGTAGAGAGTGACACAGGCAAAAAATCCTTCGAGCAAAGCGATGTATTTTTTTTCCCTTTCTTTGATCTTACTCAAATAAACGTTTAAAATATGGGGGTTAGTCAAGCAGATCTTTTTTTTTTTTTCAGAGAATGGGCTTGACCAATGAAAATTCCGATTTCAAGTAACGAAAGCGGAGGTGACAGGGTGGGGTTGGAAAGAAGGTGCAGTTTAAAGATACAAATTTGAAAAGAAAAGCAAATACGAAGGGGTAACGAAGTGTAGAAAGAATGAAAGACAATTCTGATAAATACATATATGTATATATGGAGAAGGAAAGATCATTTCGTTGTAAAGAATGAAAGAAAGGAAGTTTCGGTGGAGAAATAGTAGATTTGTTGGGAAAGAAAGAAAGAAAGAAAGAAAGAAAGAAAGAAAGAAAGAAAGAGAAACAGTAGATATATAGAAAGGGAGATCATTTCATTACAAAAAAGAAAGAAAGAAAAAGAAAAAAAAAAAGAAAGAAAGAAAACAGTAGATATATAAAAGGGAAATCATTTCATTACAAAAGAAAGAAAGAAAGAAAGAAAGAAAGAAAGAAAGAAAGAGAAACAGTAGATATATAGAGAAAGGGAGATCATTTCATTACAAAGAAAGAAAGAAAGAAAGAAAGAAAGAAAGAAAGAAAGAAAGAAAGAAAGAAAGAGAAACAGTAGATAAGAGAAAGGAGAAATTACAAAGAAAGAAAGAAATAAAGAAAAGAAAGAAAGAAAGAAAAAGAAAGAAAGAGAAACAGTAGATATATAGAGAAAGGGAGATCATTTCATTACAAAGAAAGAAAGAAAGAAAGAAAGAAAAAAAAAGAAAGAAAGAAAGAAAGAAAGAGAAACAGTAGATATATAGAGAAAGGGAGATCATTTCATTACAAAAAAAAAAAAGAAAAGAAAGAAAAAAAAAAAGAAAGAAAAAGAGAAACAGTAGATATATAGAGAAAGGAGATCATTTCATTACAAAGAAAGAAAGAAAAAGAAAGAAAGAAAGAAAGAAAGAAAGAAAGAAAAAAAAGAAAACAGTAGATATATAGAAAAGGAGATCATTTTTCATTACAAAGAAAGAAAGAAAGAAAGAAAGAAAGAAAGAAAGAAAGAAAGAGAAACAGTAGATATATAGAGAAAGGGAGATCATTTCATTACAAAGAAAGAAAGAAAGAAAGAAAGAAAGAAAGAAAGAAAGAAAGAAAGAAAGAGAAACAGTAGATATATAGAGAAAGGGAGATCATTTCATTACAAAGAAAGAAAGAAAGAAAGAAAGAAAGAAAAAAATGAAAGAAAAAAAAAAGAAAACAGAGATATATAGAAAAGGGAGATCATTTCATTACAAAGAAAGAAATAAAGAAAGAAAGAAAGAAAGAAAGAGAAACAGTAGATATATAGAGAAAGGGAGATCATTTCATTACAAAGAAAGAAAGAAAGAAATAAAGAAAGAAAAAAGAAAGAAAGAAAGAGAAACAGTAGATTATAGAGAAAGGGAGATCATTTCATTACAAAGAAAGAAAAGAAAGAAAGAAAGAAAAGAAAGAAAGAAAGAAAGAAAGAAAGAAAGAGAGAAACAGTAGATATATAGAGAAAGGGAGATCATTTCATTACAAAGAAAGAAAGAAAGAAAAGAAAGAAAGAAAAGAAAGAAAGAAAGAAAGAAAGAAAGAAAGAAAGAGAAACAGTAGATATATAGAGAAAGGAGATCATTTCATTACAAAAGAAAGAAAGAAAGAAAAAAGAAAGAAAGAAAGAAAGAAAGAAAAAGAGAAACAGTAGAAATAGAGAAAAAGTTACAAAAGAAAGAAAGAAAGAAAGAAAGAAAGAAAGAAAGAAAGAAAGAGAAAAACAGTAGATATATAAAGAAACATCATTTCATTACAAAGAAAGAAAGAAAGAAAGAAAAGAAAAGAAAGAAAAAAAGAAAGAAAGAAAAACAGTAGATATATAGAGAAAGGGAGATCAAAAAAGAAAGAAAGAAAAGAAAGAAAGAAAAAAAGAAAGTAGATATGTAGAGAAAGGAAGATCATTTCATTACAAAGAAAGAATGAAAGGAAAAGAAAGAAAGGAAGAAAAAATGAAAGAAAAAGAGAAATAGTAGAAAGAGAAAGAAAAGATAATTATGTAAAGAAAGAAAGATCATTTCATTACAAAGAAAGAAAAAAGAAAAAAGAAAAGAAAAAAAAAAGAAAGAAAGAAAGAAAGGAAGGAAAAAAAAATGAAAGAAAAAGATAAATAGTAGATATGTAGAGAAAGAGAGATCATTTCATTATAAAGAAAAAAAGAAAAAAAGAAAGAAAGAAAGAAAGAAAGAAAGAAAAAGAAAGAGAAATCGTAATTATGTAGAGAGAGGAAGATCATTTCATTACAAAGAAAGAAAGAAAGAAAGACTCGAAGAAAGTTTCGATAGACAAATAGTATATTTATAGGGAAAGTGAGAATATAATACAATTTTGATTACAAAAAATAAAAGAAAGGAAAAGAGAGAAAGACAGAACAAAAGAGAGAAAGAAAGAAATTTCGACAGAGAAATAGTTGATCTATAGGGGAAGAAAGATAATGTGATTACAAAGAAAGAAAGAAAGTTTTTATAGAGAAATAGTAGATGTATAGGGAAAGTAATATAATTTAATTACAACGAAAGAAAGAAAGAAAGAAAGAAAGAAAGAAAGAAAGAAAGACAGAAAGAAAGAAAGAAAAAAAGGAAAAATGACAAAGATAATTGGAAAGGGTAAAAATATAGAGGGATAGATACAAATGATAGAATGAAAAGGATGAGAATTATTGGAATGAAGGACATTTTTCAATTTCAGTCCAGGTTTCATCATAATCATGTTCTTTTTTCATTTCCTTGTTCATTATGACAGTCTGAACGTTGGAGAATAGTTTCTTTGGAAGATTTTATATCATCCAATGTTGACTTTCTTTATGTTGAACTCAGCCATTAGTTACAATGAACTTTCACCAGCGTCTAGTCTGTTTAAAATTTCCACGTTTTGCGATAATTTCAAAGTGTTTCTTTTCCTCTTATTCCAATCATCTTTTGCACCAATAAAAGCCATTATGTTGAAATACGCATAAGCAATTATCCAAAGTAAATTTCCTGAAAAAACAGAAATTTCAAATCGCTTACATATTACCAAAATACTTCAAATATGCACGTCAAGATCATGTCCGGATATGCGGGATTCCGGATATGCGGGATTCCGGATATGCGGGATTCCGGATATGAGGGATTACGGATATGAACGATTCCCGATATGAACGATTCCCGATATGAAGGATTCTACTGTATTAATCCTGAAAGATCGTGACACATTAACTTATTTAAGATGATCTAGATTTTGAGATTTGGATATTATTCCAGGCATTTACATTAATATTTTATTTTACTTTATTAATATTTAAAATTAATATATTATTTTATTAATATTTGAAGTTAATATTTTATTTTATTAATATTTAAATTATTATCATTATATATTATTAATATATTAAATTAATTTATATAATAAATTATAATATCTATATTATTTTTCTTTATAAACTATGATTTAAATTCTACTGAACATTTACGTACACTAGCAAAATAACTCATAATAATCAATTTAATTTATGTGAGTAATTAATAAATTTGAAAAAGTACGGATTTATTCAATGAGATCTCTGTTTATGTCATTTCAAAATGTCAAGTCCATAACTATACTACATTCATTTATATTAATATTTTAATATTTTATTTAATTTTATTAAATATTTAAAATTAATATTAATATTTATTATTAATATATTAAATTAATATATAATAAATTATAATATTTATATAAATTTGTTTTATATATATATATATATATATATATATATATATATATATATATATATATATATATATATATATATATATAAAAGTGAAAATATTATAGAAGTCAACACTTAGAGGCGACAGTCTGTTTCATGCTAGATACAATCGTCAGGCCAGTTGACACAATATTTCTTCATATATATATATATATATATATATATATATATATATATATATATAATAAAGAAAGTAAAAATAAATCACTCCCCTTAGAATAGACGAAATAGTAGACCACCTGACACTATATTTCTTCATATATATATATATATATATATATATATATATATATATATATATATTGAATAAAGGTTCCATGTAATAAGTTATTTCACCACAACCCTTTAACAGGGCTCTGGATCATCAGACTTTACTTCCAAAGGTTGAAAATGAAAACCACCTGACACAATATTTCTTCTATATATATATATATATATATATATATATATATATATATATATATATATATATATATATATAATAAAAAAGGCTTAAACACTAATATTCCATGGATATAATTTATTCCATTGGAATCGTAAATACGACCAATTCATCAGACCTACAAATTCAAAAAGAAAACAGAAAAAAAACCCAACTCCGGAAATAAAAACAGAATTTAGAGAGAGTGTAAGTATGAGGAGGAGGGAGATTAAACCTTAACAGAGAGAATCCGACAACATTCATTTTTCTCTTTTAAACCCCTTCCACTCACCTCTCCTAAAACTCTCTGTTATATATCCTTACTCTGTCCTGTGTCACACAAAAATCGAAAACCAAACAGAATAAATAAAATATACAAAATAAACTTAAAAAAATTAATCAAAATAAATAAATAAATAAACTAATCGCCCCTGCTAAAATAACCGTAAGAAGTAAAAAAATAAGCATAAATAAGCAAAAACAAGTAAAAATTATCAATTTAAATAAATAAATTAAAAACTGTCCACTCACCAAAACAACAGAAGAGGATACGGAAAGCAATCTAAACATTGAACGAATAAATAGCTGTAATTATATTCCCAGACCAAAACAAACTATTAAATGAACGACTTTAGCAAATCCTCCCCTCAAATCTTTTACTACGAAAACAATAAATAATACAACATAAAAATGAAAAACAAGTAAAATAAATCATCCTAAACAAATAAATTAATAAATAAATAAACAAGCCACTCTCGCAAAATAACCACCACAGTAGATTACCCGCAATGCACAACTGACCCCTATATATAAATAGACGATAAAATATCCAACATTCACGGCCTGAAGATTGCGTCAAGTATGAAAGGGCCTGTCGTCTCTGAGTGTTGAATTCAATGTTCACTTTTATTTTTATTTTACATTTGTCTCTGATGTTGAGCACTTTATTTCATAAACATAACATAATTTTAAAACTATATATTTTCATATATATATATATATATATATATATATATATATATATATATATATATATATATATATATATATATAAAATCCTTTAATTTATGTATCTTTTTCAGTTTTTCAACTTTTACAATCAAGACATCCAGTAGAGTAGCTTAAAAGAGACGCTAGACTACATCGCTTGATCTCGTTTACTGCCAGTTTTAGAGATGTTTTTTTCTATTTTTAATATTTTAATCCGGGTGGATTGCTGCAGAAATTCCAATTCTTGATTTTATTGAAATGAAATTGCTCTTTATCTATCTATATTTCTGAGATGAGGTATTATGGCCACTATTTACTTTGTTCGGTCTAACAATCCTCATCTTTGTTATCATATTTATCGAGGAAACATGGCGCCGTGGATAAAGGCGTTAGTGACAGGACCCAAAGTGTGTGAGTTCAATACCTGGTTGAGGCAGTGGAGAACTTGGAGAGGGTAATTAACAGGAGGTAACTGATATCTGACATCCATTAGGCATGGCACGTGGAACTAGAACGGTTTACCCCAGCGAACGAAATAAAGGGTTTAGTTTGTTATTATTCCAACCACCCAAAGAAGGCCGGAGTGTATAACGGACGAAATGTTCTGATAAGTATGGCAATGAGGATGATAGTTCGAACTATGTAAATAATGAAATTGCTCTATGGACTACTAAAATATTACCCTGATGTCCTGATTTTTTTGTGGAACCCCAAATAATGTTACATGGACCCCCCCTCGCATACACACACACACATGGGGTCAAGATGGACCCCGCTTGAAAAAATCCAGTCTAAACATATGACGCGTATTCAACAAGAACCGAAAATTGTTTTTTTCACTGCAAATTAATCATGATATCCTATCCAAGTATTTTACAAAAGAAATGACAGCCGATTCCACAATATCTCAAGCTCTATTTAGGTTTATAGTTTGTAACCATGCAATGAGATGAGGTAACATAAACCGTAGATTTGTCTGCGGAATATCATTGCATTATTGTTACATAATTATAGTGAAATCATAAAGGTTTTCTTTTATCAAAAGCATTTTATTTTTGGTCGTATATTATTTTAAAATATTTCTTTTTACATGCTTTATATTTTAAAATGAAATAAATAATTCCAGAGTGTCACGTTCAAATCTCGGTGTCGGTTGTTACTTATTTTCTTCCTATATGACGCTATTGTATTAATTAATCAGTGTAATGAGTCTGACCATAGGTTTCGTTTTAAAAAAAAAACTACTCTACTCAAAAGAGAAAGCAAATTACTAAGACAAAATTGTATAGAAATTCCTTTAATCGCTAGAATATCCACAGTAAATTTACGTCCGAGCTCTTACAACATTTTACCTTTCTTAGTAGATCTTCTATTATCACAACGTGGGATATTTAATAACGAAAGTGATAAAATATAAACAAAAAGAAACTAAATTAAATTGACGAGATTATATGACGCGTTCGGTGGAGGAGCGGCGTATTCAATAAAAAATCGAAAATTGCTTTTTTCACTGCAAATTATTCATTATATGATATCCAAGTATTTTACAAAAAATTAGAGCCGATTACACAATATTTCAAGCTCAATTTAGGTTTATAGTTCGTAATCTTGCAATGAGATGGGGCAACATAAACTGTAGATTTGTCTGCGGAATATCATTGCATTATTGTTGTTACATAATTATAGTGAAATCATTAAGGTTTTATATCAAAACCATTTTATTTTTGGTCGTATATTAATTTAAAAGATTCCTTTTTACAGGTTTTATTTCTGAAATACAATAAGATCATTCTAAATTTCAGAATTCTGCTATTGCCGATCAAAATGACTGGAAGAAAGTGATCTAAAAACAACAATGGAAAAGAGATGAAACAAAGCATAAAAGAAATAGCTCTAGTTTGTTCAACTTAAGAAACTTAGCATTGCAGCTAAAGTATTCTAAAATGCTGCCAATAATAAAGGAGAAAATGAAAAATACTTAACAACAAATTGAATATAGAATCACATAATTATAGTGAAATCATTAAGGTTTTTTTGTCAAAATCATTTTATTTTTGGTTTTATATTAACTTAAAATTTTCCTTTTTACATGCTTTATTTTTTTAAAATGAAATAAATAAGTCCAGAGTGTCACGTTCAAATCTTAGTGTCTGTAGTTACTTATTTTCTTCCTGAATGACACTATTGTATTAATTGCTCAGTGTAATGAGTCTGACCATAGGTTTCGTTTTAAAAAAAAAGCTTCTCTACTCAAAAGAGAAATCAATTTACTAAGACAAAATTGTATAGAAAGTGCTTTAATCGCTAGAATATCCACAGTAAATTTACGTCCGAGCTCTTACAACATTTTACCTTTCTTAGAAGATCTTCTGTTATCACAACGTGGGATATTTAATAACAAAAGTGATAAAATATAGACAAAAAGAAACTAAATTAAATTGACGAGACTATATGACGCGTTCGGTGGAGGAGCGGCGTATTCAATAAAAAATCGAAAATTGCTTTTTTCACTGCAAATTATTCATTATATCATATCCAAGTATTTTACAAGAAAAT